AGGGGTGCAGGCTGGTCCTGGGCAGCCAAACCCACTTCTCCCGCGGCATCTTCCGAGCTCTTGGCCTGGATTGGGGGTGCAGGCTGGTCCGGAGGTGCAGGCTGGTCCCGGGCAACCGAACCCGCTTCTCCCGCGGCATCTTCCGAGCTCTTGGCCTGGAATCCGGAAAGGGTGACTCGTGAGGCGGAGAACATCCAAGGGTATTGGACATCCCTGTTCCCCTGATCAGACCCCCAAGAAGGAGCACAGCGGAGCCTCAGCCTGTGCAGTCTAACCAGCGGGGGGCTGGGCGGGGCCACATCAGGATTGCAGGTCTGAAAGTGGGGTGAAGTTGCCCTTTTAAGGATAGAGCCTCGCCCCTGAGCTGTGGCAGGAGAGGCTGTGACCAGGCAGGATCCCCGCTAAGGCCTCTGCAAAGCTGAGCCGATCTGCCCTGCCCGCCCTGGGTTTGGTGCTCCTGGGTGAATGAGAAAAACTCCAAGCAAACAAGGAAAAGGCTGATGAGGGCAGGAGCAGCTGTGGCCTGGCAAACTTTCCGGAATGTCTCAAAGACTGACAGCCCCGGGGACAACTGGGCCGGGTGCCACTGGCAATAATAGGCTGGGCTGAGCGCTATGTTTGGGAAATCGGTGGGTTCCTTTAGCCTCCAGCCGATGGGGTTCCCATGGATGCTGGCCACGGTCTGTGCATCAGTAGGAAATTGGGTGAAAACCCAAGCTTTTGTGGATACACATGGCCCCTGCTGCCCTGTCTGACTCCATCTGACCCCATCTCTGCACAGAAGGACACTGCAGAGCGGGCAGCCCCCAGACCTGGAGGCCCGGTGGTCCACAGCTGTCCAAGTCCCACCTGAAGCGGTGGCAGTGAGTTAAAGTGAAAGCAGTCAGCATGCGTGGGAGGAGCAGAGACCCCTGACGTCTGCGCGAGTCATAGGGTGTTGAAGAAAGGGAAGTAGGGGTGTGGGGACAAGACTCTCCTAGAACCCGAGGCAGCTCGGGGGACCTCTGTCTGTTTCTGCATGTTTGTCACGCCTGTTCCACCCTCCCCCGTCCACTCTAAACTCTAACCATGTACTTCTAAGGCAGGACGCCCAGACGGTGCCCATGATAGGACTTCCTGAAGCATCCTGCTATAAATGGAAGCAGAGGAATCATGGGAAGGTTCATCATGTTCAAAATGCTTTCAACAAAGGTATCCCGCCTCGTGTCTACCACCCCATGTGGCAATCATGAGGAATCTGGGTCTCAGAAGGCTTGAGGAGCTACCCAGGTCACAGAGCTGGCAGGGACAGAGCTGGCATTTGTCTCGGACAGCTATCTGAGAGCATCTTGCACTCTGCCATTCTGCCCTGGTTCTGAATTGCAGGGGAAATGCTTTTTATTGGAACACTCGTGCAAATTTAATTCACATCTCCAAGCTGCTTCGGTGAAGAACTAACACTAGGAGCCCATTACAGATAAAGCCTGTCAATCTTGGAGCTCACGTCCACTCAGCCAGCCCTAGAGACTCCCAACTTGCCAGCTTGACTCTGCCCTTGACAACCATGTCTGTCCTCAATCTGTAGTCTACATCTGAAGACTTGGAACCCCAGGTGACTTTGATATCACTCTTCAGACTCCTGTTGTCACATGGCTTCTGGATGGGTCCCCTGGACTCTGACACCAGCCTGGATTGAGTCTAGGTTCACTGGGCTCCTCTGAAATCTCTTATGTATACTGCTGCCCCTTCCAGCCACTGAGCTCCTGCCTAAACCCATCTCCCATTCCCCACAGCCTCCCTAAAGGACGATGATGAGCAGCCATAATTAACGCAATCGTTCTAATTGGCATTCTTGGCATTCATCACAGAAAAAAATTCCCAGAACTAATTTTTAAATTCTCCGCAGATTTACGGGGGTGGGGGCAGTCAGCGCGGTGCCTGTCGCCTTGGTTTTTCTTTCAAATCTTTTAAATTGTCACAGACACAACATTAAATATGAGAACGTCGCTGTCATCTGGGGAGGGACTACACCAGGACTTCCCTTTGCGGAATCCACCTCCCACCAGGCCTCTGCAGAGCACTCCATCGAATGGCTCAGGAATTGACATGTGATCTACGTCTGTCCAATGACAGTGAGCCCTGGGACTTTTGCCGGAATTACTGGAAAAGAGGTTCTTTCTATTGGAGCTGCCAAACCAGGAGGGTGTAATCCTAGAGCTCTTGGGGGCCTGCCTGGGAACGGAGCCATCCCGAAGGAAAGCAGGGATCACAGAATGGCACAACTTATCCTGTTGAATCGTTTGAGCTTTTGGCTCCAGCCTCGCCCAGACTTTTCGAGGACTCAGCCCAATACATTCCACGTGCTCCAACTAATTCGAGCTTGTATCGTCACTTGCATTTCTATCGCTTGCAACCAAACGAGCCCGGACCGATACAAAGTTGAAAGTGTGGTCCCCTCTGTGAGGCCCCCAGGCCTTCTTCCTGGCACGTAATTGAAATGGACGGGTGGCGGGGGTCACGACAGCATTACCTGTTCCAGCAACTGTTGCCGTTTCGCAGCCGCCTCCAGCGCAGCCAGTTCTTTGAGTCGAGCCCTGAGGTGGGCCAGCTGGCCGCCTTTTGCGCCCTTGGCACCCATCTTTCCCGCCGCAGCCAGGGCAGCATTGAAGAGCTTGGGGGTGCCGGCCCGGGGAGGCAGGATGAGCACGCTCTTTTCCTTGGGTTTGTTGTTGTTTCTCAGCATGCGCCTGAAAGCGAGCAGGGTCCGCTATCAGCACAAGCCCGCTCTGGGAGGCCTGTCTGTGCAGTGCCCTTCGAGCTGGAGCCGTGCGCTGGTGGCTCTCGGGCTAACCATTTCCGAGTGCCTTTTCTGAGACAAGCACAGCACCAAGAGCTTCATGCAGAGCACCTCACTGAATGATCACAGCAACCATAATGACGTGGGTCTTATGGTCTGCACCTTAGGGATGAGGAAACAGAGGCTCAGAGGGGACGAGGACTTTTCTGAGGTCTCACAGGAAATAATAAAGGTCACTTTAATATATGGGATTAGAACGAGGATGCCCAGATGAAAATGGGCCCAGAGCCTTTGGCTTCTCTTTTTGTATCGCTATCATTTCATCATGAACACCATCGCCACTGTCAGCACTTACTGAGTATCTATTTGTGTCAGTCCCTGTGCTCAGACCTTTATAGTCACTATTTGGTGGCCCCTGTGATCCCTATCCTGGTGTTCATGCCTCTGTGTGATCCCCTCCCCTGGAGGGCAAGTGGGACATGTGACTTGTTTTCAACCAATAGCATACAGCAAGGGTGATCAAATATCACGCTTGCGATTATGCCGCGTAGAATCGTGATCTCTGTCTGGCAAGGAGACTCTCTCCCTGGCTGGCCTTGATGAAGCAAGCAGCCACATTGGGGGAGGTAATGTGGCAAGAATCTGAGGGTGGCCAGCAGCCAACAACTAGCTAGGAACTGAGGCCCTCAGTCCTACGACCGCAAGGATCTGAATTCAGCCAACGATGATGTAACTCTGGAAACAGGTCCTTCCCCAGTAAAACTTGAGATGAGACCCAGCTCTGGCCAACACTTGATTATAGCCTTATAGTGGACCCTCCTCAGCAGTCCCCAGACTTCTGACCTGTAGAAATTCTGAGGCAATAAATATTTGTAGTTTTCAGCTACTAAATTTGTGGTAATATTGTTAGCAGTAATAGATAACTGAGATACACTCTGTGTCACAGTAATCCGCAGGTAGGTATTATTATTTTCCCTCATATCAAATAAGGATATGGAAGTCCAGAGGGGGTGAGTAACTTTCCCAAAGCCACACAGCTAGGAAGTGGCAGAGCTGGAATTAAAATCGATCCTTCTGACCTCAGTGCCCCAGATCTTAACGACTGCAAAGCAACATCATGGTCATGATCTTCTTGGACATGGACACTACTCCTGAGAGTTTGGGAAACTAAGGCTTGGGAGGAGAGACATGCCCCAGATTGCTAGGAAGTGGCAGAGACAGAATAACAACCCAGGCTAAATGCAGTATATCACCCTGTTTCTCTAAATAAGGATAGAATTTTCCAACAAACAGAGCCCCAGCCTTTTATAAGGAATTTTTCATGCTACAAATATATGATGAGTGGCTTGGCTCAAGAACAAATGAACTTCATTTGTAATCTAGAGGACCTAGACTACTAATTGGCAAATTCATTCATTAGGGTCCAGTAAAACTTGTTTGTATAAAAATGAGGCCATTACTGCCTGCTTATCTAATCAGAGACAATGGATTTAAATTGTGCACATTGATATTAATTGCCCAAGACTTGAATTTTCTAGCTGGGGCTTCCCCAGGAGAATACAAACATGATAATTCATCAGAGGTCCCTTTCATGCCCAGCACTGTCACCTGTGTTATTTGAGTTCATAATTCATAGCACATCAGTCTGCAGGAAGACTCAGCATGGTACTAAAATGCCACAAAAGAACTATCTATCAGACCTTTGCTGATTACTAATGGCTAGCTCTGTTTTGAAACATTCGGCTGGGACATTTCCAGATTAAGGAAATTGAGCCTCGTTTTCGGATGACATGCATTTCACTATAATTAGGATCAAGCATTCATCCTCCTGGAGGAGGTGACACACATGAGACATTTTTGCCGTGTTTCTTGGAGTGGCCATGACGGAGAGCTGAGCACCACACTTCCTCGGGTCTCTCATAAAGTGGGGAGCGTAGACAGCATCCCACATGTGGTTCTCACCAACTCGGGCCCCTGTGCTTCTCAGACCAGGTCCCCCCTTTGATGAGCAGAGCCTGTATGTGACACCCTGCCTCTGTCCTCAAGCTTGCCTGTCCAGAGACCCAGCCTCTGGGGAGAATCAGCCCCTCCTGCTTCCTCGGGCTGCCTCACACCAGCACACACAGCTGGTCAGGAGCCAGGCCTCTGCAGGATCCTGGTCGATGTGCCAAACCCTCGCCAAACTCAGCTGAGGAATGGGACGGCAGCTCTGAGCGTGGCTTTCCTAAACAGCGATCCCCTTACAGGGAGAAGGGGAGCTGGAGCCAGTTGTCAGACATAAACTGTCGATTTTCATTATTTGGGTAAGTCCTGTAAAGTCCCTGCAAACACTGAATTAGTGACCACTGAACCACTGCTTCGGGGGGAAATACAGGATTAGATATCTGTGTGCTTCTCAACGTTCTCATCAGCTGATCAATACGTAACCTTATCTTGTGTGTGTTTCGGTTTAAAGACATCTTATTTAACATATGTTATTGATTCATTAACAATGAACTCGTGGCCAACAGCTCTGTAACTCATGCCTGAACGAAGGCCCGCCCCGGCCTTCTCTCCCTTAGGAGCATGAGATGGCACTCAGCACTATACTCGGGGGCCATTTTAAATCGTGAAATCAGCAACAAAAATCACAAAAATGTGAAAAATGTGGCACATGATAGACCATGGAAGGACATTTGTTTTCAGCATGAGCTGAATCGAATGCCCCCTTGTTCATCCTCAGTGGGAACTTGCTCTTGGGCTTCACAGATTTGTCGTTGCTCTGCATGTCTGCTAATGACCAGGAAAGCCCTTGAGTGTTGACTTTGGGGTTACAAATAAACTTTAGTGAGTAGGTGGATTGCAAATACAGAATCCATGAATCATGAAGATCGACCATGCTTCCTTGTCCCATTGCAGAGGAGGGGGAAGTGGGCAGATTCCGAAGGAAAAGCTCAGGTCGAACAGCCTTTGGAAGGGCCCAGCGGCTTGTCTAAGAGCCTCCAAGAAAGACGGACAGCTTCCTTCCCCGGGAGACCCCAGTGCCTTTTGTGTGTTACGCTGTAATGTCAACAGTATATCCACTCACCCGGGAGCTGCCAAAGCAATCCTGTAAAAATCTAAGTCACAATAAGTCACTCTGCTGTATAAAACCCTGCAGAACTCCCATCTCCCTTAGAATAAAAGCCAGAGCCATTACAAGGCTTTACCTACAAAGCCCTAGCTAATCTCGTCCCCTTGGCTTCTCCCACCCCATATCACACTCTGTTCATTTTCTTGCCAGTCTGCCCACACACCGAGCCTGTACCTCCTCAGGGCCTTTGCACATGCTGCTCCCTCTGCCTCGCATGCTCTTCCCTACAGATGTGGGTATGTGGGTGTATCTCTCAGCTCTGTCCACTTTGGAGGCCTAGTAGCACCCCTTTAGCAATGGGTGCACATGGGGCTCAGATGTGGGTTTCTAACCACCATTCCCCTCTAAAAGGAATCAAGGCTCCTTGGAGCAATGGCCATTTCCAGGGATGTAGCAGGAAAAGTACAAGAGGGGCCCAGGGTGTCTTATTGCGCCTGCAAGCAAGGAAACACCAAAATATGACTGGACATCACAAAGGTCCCTAGAGCCATCCTGAAGAGGCACCCACTAGCTAAATGGGGAACAACTGGAACATGAAAATAATCATAGTAACAGGATATTCATGGAAGGAAGTGAATCCATAATGATACAAAGAGACAAATAAATAAATGAATGAATAAATGGGAGTGGAGAGAAAGCTCCCCCTTACAGTAGAATGTGAGCTAATGAATGCAGGAGGCATAATGGAGTAAGAAAACGCCCACTCTGCAAGCCCCGTTGTAATCATTGTAAGGAACCCCCAGTGGACACTGAAAGCAGCGAGCGACAGTTTGATGAGAAACAGGAGGTCTATACAGTCTCAAAGTGACTCCCCATTCATTACTCACGAATGACATAGAAAAAAGAAATAGTAATGTTAGAGCGCAGAGGCTTTCACCAAGGGATCAGAGTAAAAATCGTCGGCGCCGGAAACACCGGCATCGTGTGCCTCTCCACACACGGCACGGACAAGGACACAGCATCGCCTCTCAGTGATTCCTGCCAAAAGTGTCATCCCAAGAAAACATCAGATAACCCTAAACTGAGAGGACATGCTACAAAATAACCGGCCTGCCCTCTCCAAAGCAGTCGAAGTCATCAAAGATAGGAAGAGGCTGAAGAACTTGATTCCACATCGAAGAGATGAAAAGTATGTGGCAACACAGCACAATGGGGCAGAAGGAAAGAAACGCTGTAAAATTGTCCCAATTTTGCTATTGGGACAATTAGCAAAATTCGACTACGGATCAGGGATGAGATCCTGGTACTGTTTCACTACTGAATTTCCTGATTTGACAAAGGTACTACGCTTATGAAAGAGAGCTTTTTAGTCTTTAAGAAATGCACATTGAAATATCTATACGGATTTTTTTTTTTTTTTAATTAAAAGAAGAATGTACCTGGCCTTCTTCCGGAGTAACTTCTGAGACTCAGGATAATGCACCAAAATTTCATTCAGGTCCTTCTTATCCAGAATGAAGAGGTTGGTAAACCCGTGAGCCACCACGTTGGCAGTGCGCCGATTCCCGCCCCCAACAGCCAGCAAGCTGGGGCAAGACGGGAGGGAGGTGAGACCTTCGGAAGCTGCAGTTCTAACCACACTAAAATCTTCACCTCCACTGTGTCGGCAGGTGCCAGGGGTGCATCCAAAGGGCCCTTGAGGACATGGTCCCGCCCACTGGCCATCCCGCCCGCTTCCCCAGCCTTTGCCCAGATCCCCTCCCTTCACCCCAGGTCCCCTCTGACCTTATTTCTCCAAACACAGATCCGACTTTCAGCGTCACCAGCACAGACTTCCCATCGGGGCCACCCAAGACCTGTACTTGCCCCGCCTGGATGATGTACATCTCGCGGCCTATCTCCCCCTGAAACAGAGAAGGGGCGAGTCCCTCTGCCATCGCCAAAAGCGGCCACAGAAGCAGCAGGGCTGAGCCCAGAGGCTGGGGCACAGCACGGAGGAACCTGCACCGGGGTCCAGCTCTGCTGCACACTTTGTGTGTGTGGCGGGGCCTGTGTCTCCCCATCTTGATTGGAGAAAGTCACCACCCCCTGGCCTGCCTAACTCCAGGATTACGGTGAGGAGTTAATGTCAGGGGGGTGATGATCAGGCAAGTGCTAGTTGTAATGGGCAGGTGTAATGGTATTCTGCAAATTCCCAATTATACACGCCGACGGAAAATCTAGCAGTGCTTCATACAGTGAACCAATCTCTGTGTCCAGCACATATCACATCAGGGGTTCGAATAGCATTTTCTAACTGAAGTAGGAATAATAACAAGAACAAAAATACCCAGCACTTACAATGAGAGAGGTCTGGAGCAGAAGGAACCAACCCTACGGACACCTTGATCTTGGACTTCTAGCTTCCAGAGCTGTAAGATGTACAGCTCTGTTATTTGAGTCACCCAGTTTGTGGTGCCTTGTTACTGCAGCCATAGCAAACTAATACAATGGTCTTAATCCCAAATTAAATCGAATGAGTGAATGAGTGAATGAATGAGTAGCTTGCTTTGGACTACAATCAGAAATACCCAGTCTGCCACACACCTTCCTGTCCTCATGGCCTCACAGGCCCTTGCCTGGTCTACTACTTGTCTCACCTGCCATGTTTAAAGGGCGAGAGACCAAGGACAGGTCAAGATGACTACACTTTTGATTCATTTGACAAACATTTCCTGGGTACCTCACACACGCATGATCTTCTTCACAAAAAGGAAGAAAGTTTTGTTTCCCTGCTTCAGTGTCCAATTTGACATAGGGCTGAAGTATGAGGGGCTTAAAGAGCTCCCCCTCACTTCACTCACCAGCCTGGGGGGTGGTTAAGTGGGGCGGCCTGGGGCTGTCTCCGTAAAATCATCGCAGAGCAAAACTAGACAGCAGAGGGCGCCATTCACACATGCTCAGCTTTCCACTGCGAACTTCCCAACAAACTGATTCACTTTTCCTAATGCGAAGCAAATTCTACATCACCCACAGGGATGAGAGCGGGTGCAATGGCACCTACTCTGTGCCAGGCACAACCAACCCACGAGGGAGATACTTTCACAATCCCTACTTTATACATGAGAAGAGAGAGACTCAGAGAGGGCAAGCCATTTCCCCGAGGCTGCACAGCTAGGAAGTAGCTCCGATGCCAGATGAATCACTCTGTTGCACCCAAACCCTTCTTGGCCTCTAAGGCTGCAGCTTTAAATTCTCATTCACCAACAGCACACTTTCCCCTTCTTTCCCCAGCTCTCTGCATCCAGAAACTTCACTGAAGCAGGCAACTTGGAAACGGGGGCCTTCTTGAGCTGGTGGCTCCTGAATCTTACCAGGGTTGCATGGCCAATATTTTCACCCCAACATACACAGTGGCCTTATTAACAGCTCTGTAACAAGAGGCTTGAAACCTGGTTCCTGTCGCCCCGCTTCCAACCACTCCTTACCAAATGACCTTGGTCTCACCTTGAATCCCAAAGAGTGGGAGGAGAAAGGGCCCTAGACACTGTCTAGCCCCAGGATTCAAATGCAAAAGTTTTCCAGGATCAGGTGGGTGGTGTGAAGGAGTAAAGGGGGCCTGGTATGTGGAGGGTGGGGGCGCGTGGTGTCAGGAGAGAGCACGATGTCCCCATGAAGAGCAGTCTCTTCTCCACCCTCCAAGCTGACTCTTGCTATTTGGGAAGGTAGGTTTCGATGTTAGCAGATTTTCCATTTTCAGCCAGAAATCTGGATTTTTGTGTAAAACCTTCTATTTTTCAAGGTTGAGGCCTTATTCAACTTTTTTTTTAAGATTAGACAAAACAAAAAGCGAATCACAAACACCTTCAGCCCGGCTCCTGTGCTGGGGCCACCAGTTTGCAACCTCTGTTCCATTCCTCCTCCCACCCCCTTTTCCTGATTACAGGACCAAGACCAGGAAGCAGCTCCATCTACACAGTCAAGGCCCTGCCCCTGTGTAGGCTCCTCACTTTCCTTTTCTGTAAAGTGGGGTTCTTCATCCTGACCTTCATGGTTCCATGTCCAGGGAGCAAAGCCTCAGGCTCATCAGAGTTCCATGCCTGGAGCTGGACAAAGCCAACTTGTGCCAAACAACCTGGAGCTGTGGGCCAGCTGCCCAGTGCTCAGAGCCGCAGCCGCCCCCTCCCTCTCCAGCAATTCTGCTCTGCCTACCCCTCCACCCCGCAAACCTCACTGAGCCAGTAAATCCAAGCCACATTGTAGCTGCCTTCAGCCACTCACCTTCTTGCAAACGTAGTCATTGGGCAGGTAGACGACAGAGCGAAGCCGCTTCAGCATGTCAAAGATCATCTGTCGGTCACAGCCCTGTGCCCGAGAGGAGAGGAAAGGAGTCTCAATTCAGAAGGTGTGGGCTCGGGGCCTCCCAGAACCCTGAGGGGGAGGGCGCTGGGAGGGCCATACCTGGAAGAGCGCCACTTTGCTCACAATGTCATAGTTCACGTCGATGGCAAGGTCCAGCCGCATCTTGTCTGGAAGCTGCACCATCAGCTCTGACTCATCTGCAGATGAGACCGCGCCGGGTGTCACAGGCACAGCCAGGCCCCTCTCCGGCACGTGGGCCACGTCTGTACTGCACTGGCTGGCCCCAGCCACACCTTTCCTCTGCCACTCAGAACCACGCTGGATTGGGGGAGCGCCCTCTCTTCCCTCCCCAGATGCCGTTCCCTCTGCTGGGAACTCGCTCATGCACCTTACTGAGCAGGCTAATTCCCGCTTGTTCTTCAGAAACCATCGCTAAGGGTTCCTCCGGGAAGCCCTCCCTTGAGATCCCCTACCCAGCTGTGATGGGAGCAGTCCCTGTGCTGTACCTCTCATCATACCCTTTGTTGCGACAGCTTGTTAGAAGGACGTTAGCTAAAGTATTTTGGGCACTGTTTCTACAGAGTGCTTTACAAAGATGACTTTATTCAATTCTTCCAGCAACCCAAGAGGGGCTTACTACTAGAAGCCCCACTTTACAGACAAGGAAAGGAGGCTCGGGAAGGCAGTGACTTGCCCACGGCCACGTGGCCCAGGGGGACAGACTCAGGATCCCACCCAGGTCATGGGGCTCCAGAGCCTGTCCCAGGAGAGCAGGGCCATCTGTTCTGTCACCATGTGGTGCCCAGAAGAGAGCCTGGCGTGGAATGAATATTGGTAGCTGGAGACAGGAAATGCACTGCCTGATCCCAGCCCTGGTGCCCCACCCACTGCACCGTGATTATCTACGGACATAAGCTCTGGGCGGGCCTGGGCAGGTCAGGGCCCTCTAGGGTCCTTAAATATGCACCCCTGCGAAGGGGGGCAACAGTACAGCTGTCACAAGGCTGTCAACGGAACTGAGGCAATGGATGTGAACATGCCTCATAGACTGTAGTCACATGACCCAGTCTACGAGGCACGTTAGAATGAAGATTCTAACACTCAACGTCCGCAGACTTGCCAACGCCCCCTGCTCAGGAGACTTTGGGGCTGAAGTGTGGCTTCTCTGAGACCAGAGAGAACCCCATGGAGGCAGTGAAGCCCCTTTATTTGGCTGAGGGAGTGTGGGGCTCTAAGTGCCAGTGGCCTGTAGGCTTTTCAGAGGCCTCCAAAACAATGTCCAGACTTTGCAAACAAAATCACCAGCTCCCAAAATGAAAAAGAAACTGGAAATTTTTCAATTAACATATAATTAGCATATTCAGATTTAATTAAGAGTTCCATTTAGAATCCATAAAAACTTCATTACATTTGGAAATAATTTCCAGGTAAGATTCTCCCACTTTTAATAATTACTGAGCACACACACCCATCATGGACAAGAAAGCAAAAACGATGGTGAACTAAATGCATTATTGTAGCCAAATAATTTCAGAAGCAGACCATAACATCAACAAATTCACAAAGAAAAAAATCATATATAAAAATATATATAAATTATGTATA